TGTTCATATTCAAATACACCCTCCAGAGCAATTGTTTCTTTTAAGCGGTACATCATTTGCTCGATTCTAATAAGAATTTCAAATATTCCCGTTTATTATCCTACGTTCTGTTGTCAGTTTATTTGTTAACATGTCAAGCGCTTTATTGTTTATATTGAAAAAGTTTTCATAAGCAGTTCCCAGGTTTCCCATTACAAACTAAATTGCATAATGACGATCACGTTTCTTTTTCACTGATGTATTCGAAAGAGGAAAGAAATGAATTTGATATCAATGTAATTAAAACACACACGCAATCAAATTTGGAACAATTAAAAGCGCGATCAATTATCATTTTTCTTTTTGTTCTCCTATTGGTTTAAAAAGGCGCATCATATCCCCAAACATAGCACTGTTTATAGCTGTGTGCTCATAAATTGCATGCCCAAAAAGAGTTTTCTTTAAATTTGAATACAAATCTAACGTAAGGCGATGGAAAAAAGTTTCCGAGGTGGTAAGGTGTACCCCTTAAATACTCATGAATTTTTCTTCTTGCTGGCTTCGATATTGATACTTTTGGCGATCTTCACATGGCGAATATATAAGTTTGCGAACGTCGTATGGAAAACTTAACTCCCAAGGATATAACTCTGTTCAAGTCGCTTTTATATTAAGAGAAGAAAATTTCTTGTCATCAAAATCCCCAAATTTTGCCGTTGTTTACTGATCACAAATCCTGTCGTGATTACGAAGAAAATTTCGAGAAGTATCTCTTTAAAGCACGTCTTTTAAAATCATTTTCCAGGTCGAATTTTTGACACATTTAATTCTTTTTCCCTACCACCAGCACCAGTTGCAGTTGCATACTTGGCAGATGTGGGATCAAGCAACAATAAACAGTCGAAAAGATTTGACACTATCGGATACGTGTGGGGTACTGAATAACTCTTTATCGGAGAATGCCTGGCGGAGGAGCCCAATGTTAGTGGTAGTTTAATCATGTCAGAGAACTATGTTCAGCTCTGGCCGAAACATTTATACTCATCTCTTTGATTTTAAAAACAAAGGTGATAAATATAATACCGGGTGGTTGAGGCCGATTCGGTCAATTTTTGCGCAGATACTATAGAATCATCTAAAAAATATGCGCAAGAATTTTTATCGTGGTATTCATTGCTGCGATAGATCAATTCTTGCAATCGTTAGGTGGACAGATGGACGGACGTGCATGTTGAGATCGTTTTGGAATTTTACACTGATTGAGCATGTACATACTTTATAGGGTTTCTAAAGCGCCTTCCCCGGTATTGCATGCGTATTAAGGAAATGACTATAAAAAGAAGCAAAAAAAAAAAAAAGAAAGGCGCCGCACGGGACAGTATATAACGCATACATACGACGCTTTAAATAGGCTAACTAAAGATACTTGTTAAATATACGATTGTCCCTCGAAGCTATATGATAGTAATCCAAAGAGCGGTATATTAAAATTTACTATGATTTCTAATCACACACAACCGAATTACTTATCACATGTTAGTTATTTAGCTGAGGCGTCCTAAAAATTCTTTTTTTAACTTTCAAAAATTTTTAAATAAAATTCGCTAAAATAATATTTTTTAAAAAGGCGACATCAAATCATAAAACCAATCACAATCCAGACAATCCCTTTGCAAATGAAACAGAGAAAGAAAGAACTCGGTAGACAGACTATCATAATAATTTTCTAGAGCTCATACCTAAAAACAATAAAATAATTACAACATACTTAGTATTAAGGGAAAGTTTGGCTACAAATGCAGAAATGATATTAAACTCTGACTGACACTCTTGAAAATCAAAGCAAGAGAAAACTGCACGCAGGGGCACATCCCTTTAAGTAGCAGTGTTAAAAAGCTGACATCATGACGAGTTCCTGACATACGCACTTCAGATCTCGAACAGTTTTGTGCAAAAATTTAGATAATAATTTTAAAAATTATTTTGCAATAATTTGCAATAATTAAAGCGAAAATTAAAAATATAACTAAGCATAAATAAATTTTTATAATAAATTATTATAGCAATGCAATCAAGCGAAGAGTCTCCAGAGATAACAGAAACTCAGAACTGTAATTCAGTTAAGTTATTGCCGTCCACCTCAAGTGAGTAAAATGAAATACGATTTAAAGAATTAATTTAAAAAAAAAAAAAAGTCTTACAAAGCTAATAACAAAAGTGTTTTCTCCATTTCGTCAATTTAAGATCGTATACTACATCACGTGCTTTGCGAAGTGTGCGGTGATAATAGTTCGGGCAAGCATTATGGCGTCCATGCTTGTGATGGTTGTGCGGGCTTCTTCAAGCGCTCCATACGCATGTCCAGCCAGTATGCATGCAAATCCGAAAAGCAAGGACTGTGCGTTGTGGATAAAACCAATCGTAATCAGTGTCGGGCTTGTCGCTTGCGCAAATGTTTCGAAGTCGGTATGAACAAGGATGCCGTTCAACATGAACGAGGACCACGCATTTCAACCGTACGTCATCACATGGCCTTATACAAAGATGCTATGAAGGAAGCCGGAAAAATGCCTCAGATATCATCTGAAATTCTTATTAACACGGCGCCGTTGTCTGGCTTTCCCGGTGTGCCAATCCATCTACCTGCGTCACATCTCATGAATTCCAACTTAACGAACACTTTTCAATGCCCGGGCGATTTATCGATATCGCATATGCCTCATTCGCCGGCATATCATCCTCACTCGGCTTTCTTTGGCCACAGTGCGGCCTACATAAACGCCTTCGCCGCTACCCACATATTACCCACACAATCTTGGCCCGAGTTCGAGCAGTTCTACAGAAAATCATGGCCTTACTGATGACATTGAACCACCACGCTTTCTAGCAGCGAACAACAATTAACAACTTTATTGATCATTTTTAATCTTTTTCTTTTTTTTTTTTTTGGAAATGTTAAAAAAAAATCGAAAAAAAGAGAAATGGAAAAAATACAAAAAAAGCAAAAAATAAACGAAAAAGTTTTATTTATATCGATCGGCATGTTAACAACGGCAGTCACTTTGAAAGTGTAGCGGAACAAAATTTTGATTTCAAAATATGTGCGCAAACGTTTTTCTTAAGTGCTATAATCTCATCAAATTAATCGAAGTTATTCTAATAAATAGGTTATGCGGTACTTTTGCAAATACTCTGAGTCTTTTGTTCATTCTGTTTATCCACATGTAGACAAATATATGGACGCACACATAAACACACTCTTTTAGCATCAAACAATCTTATCTCCACTGCTATTTTTTAAGTCAAAGTCTATCTGATCAAGCGCTAGTAAAAAAAAATATATATATATATATATATATTTTCCAACAAAAAGCTATAGTTTTTGAAAAGGTCGTGTAGCGGCCAAGAATTCAATGTGCATTTTACTCTGTTCCCCTGTATACCAGATAACAAGAGCCCAAAGAATAGCCATTTGGTTTATGAATTCCAAAACTGATTCGCTTTGGCTTTTACAAGCTCAAGAATTGTTATGCATTTCATACAGAGCAGGCAAAATTCTGCATCAATCTTGTTTTAATCATTTCTGCACCAGTTTAGAAAGAAAGCCCGCCTTTTCACTTATATGTTATTCATTGATGCAAAGCTGATCACTTGAGAGAATGTATGGAAGATGTGGAAACTAGACTTGATAGACGAGCTCAAAATATGAATGAATGTGGTAAGACGGTGCAAAGGATCTCGAATATGCTTAAGCTAAGTTGTTCATGTGGAATGATATTTTATGAAAACTAATATAAGATAATCGCAAAGTCCCTAAAGACCTTTGTCAGCGATTTGCTTTCTTCACGAATATCAATTTTTATTGGCTTGACTGGGACGGTAGTAGACTTGGCATAAATACTCTTAAGCAAAAAACAATTTTTTTTTTCTATATAGTGATATGTAATAATTTCTCTACGCATGCTAGGATTTCGATTGCCCTTCCTGTGACCTTTCAAGATGAGCTCTCAACTACAATTTCGATTTTGACCTTCGAAAATTTCCAAATTATTATATAAGCGACAAGCAAACAAAGAATGCAATCCAGACAAAGGGGTAAAATAGACTTTTTGCATTTGGAAAAGAAAAGAGAAAAAAACGAGCAGGTAGACCACCATAATTGTTTTCTTCATAGTCTCATAGTTCATAGCTAAATACGTAGTAAAGTAACAGCAACACAAGTGTTAAGTGAAAATTGATGATATTAGCAATTATTGGGAACAAATGAGGAAATGATCTTAAACTCTGACTCTCTTCTAAATCAAAACAAACACCATATTGTGCAGGAATCATTAAACTAAAAGAGAGAGAGAGAGAGAGACAGAAAGAAAGATACACACACACACAAATACAAGTCACTGCCTCTTTGCCTAACGAAGGGGAAGAAAAACGACCAATGAAGAGTGATATTAGGCAACGGGGATGATCATAATGAGCAAGCATATGTGCTTGCTTCGATTTAATGAATGGTACTGCACAGAATTTGCGCATCCTTCTCAATAGGACTATTAAAATGCTGACATGGTGGTGAATTCATGACATATACACTTTAGATCTCAAACAGTAATGGTCGCGTTACAGACAGTGTTAAAAGAGTTAGAGACTTAAAAACGTCATGCAATAAATTCGAATGAATATTAAAATCAAAAAATTTAGTGCAAAAATCGAAAAATTATTACATTTATTACAAAAAAAAAAATAAGAGAAAATATTTAGTCAATATTTCGACAATTGTTTAATAATATATTAGAATAATGCAATCAAGCGAAGAGTCTAACGAGATAATAGATCAAAAATATAATTCTGTTAGATTATCGCCGGCCGCTTCGAGTGAGTAAAATGAAATATCTATCTATCACAAGATTGCTATCGGAAGAAAGCGCTTGGTGTCAATGTCTCCCAGTGAACTAATGAATGTCTTTCTGCTTACTTTCAATTTAAGGTCGCATACTATACCATGTACCTTGCGAGGTATGTCGCGATCACAGTTCGGGCAAACACTACGGCATTTACGCTTGCGACGGATGTGCGGGCTTTTTTAAACGCTCCATACGCAGATCCCGTCAATATGTATGCAAATCGCAGAAGCAGGGACTATGTGTTGTGGATAAAACCCATCGTAATCAGTGTCGCGCTTGTCGCCTGCGAAAATGCTTCGAAGTTGGCATGAATAAGGATGCAGTTCAACATGAACGGGGGCCGCGAAATTCAACTTTGCGTCGTCATATGGCTATGTATAAAGACGCTATGATGGGAGCAGGAGAAATGCCTCAAATACCTCCTGAAATTCTTATGAATACTGCTGCCTTGTCTGGTTTCCCAGGTCTGCCAATGCCTTTACCTGGCGCGCATCCTATACATTCGAGCTTGACTAGTGCCTTTCAGCCACCCGCAGTCCTAGATTTGTCGGTGTCCCGAATACCTCATTCCTCCTTACATCAACATCACCCTGCCTTCTTTGGACCCAGTGCGGCCTACATAAACGCATTGGCCGCTACGCGTATTTTGCCACCGACACCTCCTTTGATGGCTGCTGAACACATAAAAGAGACTGCCGCCGAACACTTATTTAAAAATGTTAATTGGATTAAAAATCTGCGTCCTTTTGCCGAACTTCCGATGGCCGATCAACTGCAACTTCTCGAAGAATCGTGGAAGGAGTTCTTCATCCTAGCTATGGCTCAATACTTGATGCCTCTGAATTTTACACAACTCCTGTTTATCTACGAATCAGAGAACAACAATCGCGAAATTGTCGCCTTAGTGACCCGCGAAGTTCATGCATTTCAGGACGTACTCAATCAATTGTGTCACCTTAGCATCGATGCTAGCGAGTATGATTTCATCAGAGCCATAACATTATTTCGTAAGCCTACTCCGCCGGCAAATGAAGATTTTGCCAACACCTCACTTGGTACGAACGGTGGCAGTCCGAATTCCAGCAGTTCTACCGAATCCCGCGGCCTTATTGAAGGCACCAAAATCATGGCTTTACACGACGAGAACCTCAATGCCTTAATCACCTACATTGCGCGTACGCATCCAAGCCAGCCGACACGCTTTCAAGCGATTATGGCTGCCCTTTCACTGATGACCAAGGTCACGCCTTTCGCAATTGAGGAGCTATTCTTTCGTAAAACTATCGGCGAAATTAGTATCGTACGTCTAATCTCAGATATGTACAGCCGACGGAAAATCTAACTTCAATACATACCGTGGGATATATGTGTCGTTCAGTGCTCTGTGGTGAGCTAAACTGCTGGAGACTGTGATATTACAATTAATAATAATTGTTTGCTTGCATTTGCTTTCTTGGACAATATTCAATTAAGGATGCGAATCTTTAACTCTTTTTATAATCTTTACTCTTTTTTTAATCGTCACTAGCCTCAGTTTTAACTTTTAACTAACTATTCTCTAAAAAGTCGATTCTATTTCTTGATATCACAACTTTTTTATTTTTATGTTAAAAAAAATTGTTAAACCATGCAGGGAACTTAGTTATGTAATAAATAAGTTTTCAAAACAATCGGATAATCATAGACATTGCCTTTTACTCGCGGAGGACCTAAAATAGCATGATGTAAAAACTGTCAAGCCGTACGCGCAACCTAGTCATCTTAGCAGAGGAAACACAAAACACTGACTTGCCCAACAAGTAATGAAGACATGTTTGGCAAATTAGAAGTTTTCCCGCGAGATAAATGCCGAAGCTTATGGTTACCTAACGTAAGCATATGCCAATGACTTAGTTTTGAGTGATCTGTGGAAGTGAAATGTTGCAACAGACGGATAAATTTGTTGAACAGACAAGTCGACTAAGTTAGTTTAAAATCAGTTCTTTAGTGCATTTCTTCATGAACTTGTTTATAAGTTGGGCTTGTTGTTAACGGATTGGCGCAATTAACATTGATACTGTGCGTGCTTATCAAGAGAGCAAAGTATACACACAGATTAGATTATCATATGGAAAATCCTAGAGCACCCATAAGACACCCCATAAAGTATTTCTGATCAGAGTTCAATTCTAGGTCAATTTAGCCTTGGTCAACTCGCTCCTCGATAAGGTACGGCATCATCTAATTATTGAAATGCCAAGGCTTGATTTATGTAAATACTTATTCCAAAGCTACAAGCTAAGCGAGGAAAATAACCTTCTTTACGAAAAATCATATCACAAAACACTGTTACACGTACTATAGCTTAATTTAAAACTTCTATGGGTCCGCAATAAGCCAACACAATTTCAGTTAAAATGTATAGAGGATATTACCTGGAGCGGTCCAAGAGATAAGTCTACAAATTGTCGAGATTGGGAAAGAGAAGAGAGGTAAGCTTGCACAGCCTAGTGGGTGTGCGCCCGATCGGTGAGTGTCGTGCGTTAACCGACTTAGCGTAACTACAACCTAAGGATACTCTACCGTATTAAGATTTAAAGCCGCTCGCAAAGAGCATTCGCGATTCTTACCTATTCGGCTACTAACCTAACCAATGTAGCCTTTTTTACTTTTCAAACTTGTTCTGTTACCAGCCAACAACCTGGGAGTGGAGAACCAGGGTCTTGTGAACAATTTTAAGCGGTTTTGATGATGGAATAATATCTATTGGCCGATAGGCAAAAGGTGAAATGGCCGATGACCATTTATTTCCTAGCAAAGGGCTACATATTGCCGCTTTGACTTGAGGCCAGACAACTCAGACTATTACTTTTATCCACAAGCAAGTTTACTTCTTCTCATTCACACGCGCTTTTTTTTTCAACTTTAGATTCTCAGTAAAGATTTGCTAAAGATTCGATAAACTCAAACACCACTGACTAATGTGTTGCGATTATCGACTTTTTAAAAGCACTTTAAATGCATTTCAGATGCAGAAATTTAATTCAATTAATAAATTTATTCATAGATCATCTTATGCTAATCTTGCGAAATTTCAAAGTCAATCAAATATTTTAAAAATGCTTTGCTCTTTCTTCCTATACGATCGACAATGTTAGTTTAAAGTGTACTTGGACTTGATAAACTCTGATTACTTGACGGAGCACATCATAAGCAAATCATTTTATTTATTTCAATTTAATGGAACCATAGGATATATAAAACAAAAATTAACTACATTTACTTATCTCTCTTTCGTAGCGAACAGCTGCACGGTCCGGTCCTGTGTTGATTAGAAACTAATTAAATATACCGAGAAACGAAATTAAAAATTAACATAACATTTACGCATCAATAACTAACAAACTGGATTAAATGTATACAATGAGAATGAAAAAAAAAAAAACCAAGCAAAGTCGAATGCTTCTTCTTTCAAAAAAAAAAAAAGAAAAAAGGATAATAAACCTAAAGAGAAAAAGAATATTTATATATACAGAAAACATTTAAACGATTGACTGAGCTAATGATTGTTGAACTTATTGCAAGCAAAACTGGGTTACAATGCCAAAGCAGAACAAAAAATCTAAATAACATAAGTTAAAAAGGGGGAAAATTCACTTTGCTTTGACTTCTTCCATACTGATAGGAATACACACACACACACACACACCCAGCAACATATACATCAAATAATAATAGAGAGATTTCTCAATGCAAGATAGATCGCAAATGGCAAAATATCTGCAGTCAGAAAATGAAGTAAGCCTGATAATGGTCCCTAATAATAGTAGCATTCAATTCACTATAGAGCCCGCTGCACGTTAGTCAAAAGGATCGAAGTGAAAAAAATTGAAACTGAGGCTGAATAAACAAAAATCTCTTAACAAAGTGGAAAGCCAACGATGGTCGATGGCCTTGAGTAGTAACCGAATTTATCGACTCTGTTTGTTGTTGTTGTTATTGACACAACAGCAGCAAATAGCAAAATATACATTAAAAGCAAATAAATGAAAAAAAAAAAAACAGAGTCGAAATAATAAAAAAATTATAACAATTATAAGAATATAAATAAGTAAGTAATTGCTTTATTTAAAAGGAGAGAGCAGGCCTTATGCGAATTGTGGATGAGTGACTACGAATCACGACGAGCAAGTCATCGATTGCGGGTTCAAACCTCAGTGCGATAGGTCAACGCGCAGCCGGTAAGTTGGTACCGTCTAAGCATACGCCCGGCCATTTTCTATTTCTTTCCATCCATCCTCTGACCGATAAATTAAAAAAATTTGCTACCTTTAGCCCGTAACTTGCTCTCCTAGGCATCGGTTTCACTATTAACCTAATGAGTGCGGACAATATACTCATACTCCCTGTAATCCGCATAATTTGGATGTATAACCTATTAATTTCTCCATTTTTAGTGTTTTATCGGATTCTAAGACGGTTTACCAGTGCCTATATGTACCTACACATTGCATTATTTAAATCGTCACAATGCCATTAAAAATGTGTTTCATATATCAGATTTGAAATTAAGCGAGACTTTCAAAGTGGACTGATGAGGTCAACATCCCGTAATGGCTTTGAACCTTTAATAGCCTTTAATATAATGCAATAAAACCGAGCAACGATATTAACTGACGCTTACAAAGCGGATGTTTTGACAGCGCTTTGTTTTCCCCCCTATCTGCATCGTGTGCACGTATCGCCGTCAATGAAGTAAAAATAATTGAGGCTAATAAGAAATAAGAGTAACGCGGTTTTCATTGGTATTTTTAAGCAGTTGTGGAGAAAGTATTGAAAAAGTCTAACAAAGTCCGCCATTTCTAAGCATAAATGTATTGCTTATGAGTTTTAAGGATAATTTACATATCTATGTTACAAACGAAATGGAAAAGTGAATACGCTTACATATAAGGAATGATAATAACAGCATCAGTCACAACAACAAACAGTCACCGTTTGAATGTAAGAAATCAAAAAATCAGTCAGTTCATCGTCATCGAAAGGGAAGGGACACGTTAAGGTAACCCTTGAAATTAATTTAAACACTCACCCATTCCATAGCGTACATACGTGGAATGCTTTTACAAAAGATTATGCCTCGAAGGAATTTTAAATTAAATGTTTATCTGTGCGTATGTGTGCATTGCACGTTAATGAACTAATGATAAGGATATGCGCGGAAAATCTCTTCAACATGCTTTGCTACTCTTTCTCTCGTTTCCCCTCTATCGTTGTTTCTCTTTTCCTAGCTCTTCGCTTAAATATTTCTCTGCCCATGATCGCGTCAAGCAGTAACGACAATAACTGTAAATCCATTTTCAATTCTATGCCAAACTCTCTAAGGGGCTGAGCCCTTTTAAGTCCTAATGGCTCTTTATTATCTGCCTTTAGACTTTTAATGGACTTCCAGCTCACAGTGTGCGGTACGCACTCATCCTTTGTTAATGCTGTCGTGATAATAATGAAATGAAAAAAAAAAAAAAAAAAATAGAATAAAAATAAGAATAACAACAAGCAGTTAATGGTGGTGGTTTACTGTTGTTATTAAACTAAGCCATTGTTGTTTTTGTTATCGTTTTGGCAAATTGTTTAACTATTTTCAATGTTTTTGGCTTTGCACACAACGATATTAACATGGATAGCCTTGCGTGTGCGAGATATATCGTATTATTTTTCTTGCTCCTTCCTTTAGCATTTGCAGATATTTATGTGTGTGTTTTAGTTTAAATTCTCATCACTCTGTCATCGGATTGACATCTTTTGTCTTCATTGATATTATTATTATCACCGTTTACACGTTCACTATTGACAAATTAAAAAATATGCTTAGCTCTTCAGTGTGTTTGCGATTTGCGATCTGTTTCAAGGAAAATCAAACGAAAAATCCGCCTAAGAGTTGAAATGTATATGAAGGGACGATATTCGTCGCTCCTTAGGAAGGTTAAAATTATTGGAAAATATTGTATAATATTCCATCATACACACTGTATAATAACGTATTCCGTTGAGCGAATATTAGGAGCTGGCATTAAATAAACTCCCGTCCCTTTTCTCTTCCTTTTCCCGGTTTTATGATTTTTTGCTACCGACCCGAACGTTTGTCATTCATTCACGCATTGAAGAAGTGCATACGAGAGTGCGCGAATACTTTGCTTTCGTTTATATCATTTATTCGTAGGTTGATAGCACATCTAGTACATTTCTTTGCTTTACACACATACGCACACACACATACACACAGGAGAGCATTGCATTGCATTGCATATTTCCTAGTTTAATATTTATCTGATAATTCAACGTAAACTTTAAACTAAAATGCAA